ACATTTTAAAAAGTTGAACAGAGATTTTAAAGGTTGAATATGTCAATAGATGGTTTTCAATGAATAATAATAATAATAATTCGACACTTAGACTGTTTGCTCTTAAAGTTAAATTTTACTTTTGTCTATATACCAAAGTTTTATTAAGAAAAAATTTATTTATATACATTTTGGTTTGTTTTGTATAATACTCAAAAAAAATGTTATAGTGACATCCCTAAATGATACTGGCATATAATCCAAAGGGAAGGCTATGGATCATCTAAACATATCAAGTTTAGGAAAAAATTATAAAAAAAAATTGTAGGCCGTCCATCAATCAGTGATCTTCAGTTTATCCTCATCAGGGGAGCTGGAGCCTTATCCCAGCCAACATGGGGCGAGAGGTGGGACACACCTGGACAGGTCACCAGTCTGACACAGGGCTAACAGAGTGACAGACACCTGTTCACACTCATATTTGCAATTTTCATGTTTTTGCTTCTTTTTTTTCTTTTTTCTTTTTTGTGGCTCCACTGCAGGTGAGGGGTGGAGCAGTGGTGTCAGGAGAGGCTGACTCACACACCTGACCGCCATTATCTAATCATGTCTCTGCTGAGTTGAGAAAGTACTGAATAAAACTTTTTACAATGTTATTGCTGGAACTGACCATTGAAGCCCTGAGATTCTTTCCAAGCTCAAAACCTGTTTCTAGAAGTGTGGCTTAGAACACTGAACTATGTGAACTGGACCTTCTTTTAATTTTTTTAAAATGGTCTGTAGCAATAATTCCCCAGGGGTTTTTTCCTTGTACCTGACCATTTTCAGAGGAATGCTTTGTTTTGTTTTAAAAAAGTTTACCTCACTGAACTGGGGGGAGAAAAAAAAAAAAAAAAAACTCAACTCGAGGGAAGAACCAGTATTCCCTGCACATAAGAGTCCTTAATAAAGAACCAGTTTTAAGCTGAATCTTTAGGCTCTTCGTTGCTAGCAGGTTATCACAAAAATTGTAATTTGTTGTCATTTCTTTAGTTGAAACAGTGAAAATGGCAAAATAACAAATTTTAACATGAAACAGTATTTTTGCACCAACTAGGTGATTCACAAAGAGCTAATAATCCAAAACCTGGCATATCTCAGCATAGTGTGCAGTGTGTCCTTAAAAAATCTGAGGAAACTTGACCAGGGAAGAAAAGAAGTAGCAAGCCAAAAAAGCAGATTAACAGTATCCGTGTATCTCACAGGCTTTTCATGTCTTTCTGAAATATGAAAAAATCCTCACACCGGACCCGAGTGATGACCAGGACTGAAGCGTTGCAGTTGCACATCAGAGTGTGTGGAGATGACAACAGGACCCTTCTTCTGGCCTTTGAACGGAGTCTTTGCAATTATCATTATGGCGCCTTTAAAAACCTCTCTATCAAACAGGTTTTCTTGCCCTGTCATCTTGGATACTTTCTCTCCTGTTTCACTACCTGAGCTGGTAAAACTAGTGAATTCAGTGAAAGCATCCTCTTGTCCTCTTGACACTGTACCTGCATCATTATTCAAGAATGTCTTCCAGGTTATTGGTCCATCTGTGCTCACTCTAATCAACTCTTTACTGGCGTCTGGTATAGTTCCAGTTTATTTTAAAAATGCTGCTATTCTCCCGCTTTAAAAAAGACCTCAGCTAGACCCGTCTGTTTGGAGCAGCTACAGACCAATCTCCAAAGTACCGTTAATCACTAAGCTTCTAGAAAAGGTTGTGCCTAAGAAACTTATAGCTGCTCTGGACAAACATAGCATTTTGATAAGTTTCAGTCCGGCTTTCCATGAGCTCACTCCACAGAAACAGCTCTTCTTTGGGTCTGTAGTGACATTTTGATGAGTAATGATGCAGGAAAATGCTTGGTCCTCCTTATGTTGGACCTCACATCAGCTTTTGACACTGTTGACCATCACATTCTCTTCGAAAGGCTTAAACATTGGGTTGGTGTATCGGGTACTGCCTTGGAGTGGTTCTCCTCATATCTACGTAACCGATCTTTTTCTGTGGTGGTCTCCGGTTTTAGGTCATCCTCTACCTCCCTTACTTATGGTGTCCCTCAGGGTTCGGTTTTGGGGCCTTTATTGTTCTTAATGTCTTCTCCCCCTCCAGCACATAATGGGCTCTTTTGAGGACATTTCTTATCACTGTTATGCTGATGATATTCAGTTGTACGTTTCTTTTAAGCCCGAGGATTTATCTAAGCTTCAGCTTCTAAATGATTGCTTAGATTCTATCAAATGTTGGATGGCTGCAAATTTCCTCCAACTCAACGAGGGGAAAACTGAAGTCCTTCGGACAGATTTTTATCCCAGATAGTGAAAGCCCTCGGTCCTCTCTCAGTGTATGTTAAATCCTCTATCAGGAATTTAGGTGTCACTTTTGACCCGACTCTCACATTGGATGGGCGTGTGAAATCTCTGGTTCGGTCTTGTTTTTATCACTTAAGAAATGTGGCTAAGTTAAGCCCTATTTTAACTTGCCCTGAACTGGAGATAGCTATACATGCATTTATTTCCTCATGCTTGGATTATTGTAACTCTTTGTTAATGTGTCTAAGCAAAGGTTCTCTGGATCGTCTGCAGGTTGTGCAAAACGCTGCAGCTAGGCTCCTGACAAAATCCTCCAAGTACTCACATGTGACACCATTGCTATTTCAGCTACACTGGCTTCCTGTTGAATTTAGAGTACATTTTAAGATCCTGGTCTTGACATTTAGAGCCTTGTATGGACTGGCACCAGCCTACATCTCTGATCTGCTACAGCCCGGCGTCCCTAGCAGGTCCCTGAGGTCATCTGATCAGGGCTTACTTGCTATAAAAAATACTAAGATGAGAACTAAGGGTGACAGAGCTTTTGCCACCGTGGCCCCGAGACTGTGGAACTCTCTCCCCCAAACATTAAGAACTGTGGACTCAGCAGCTGTTTTTTTTAAAAAACAACTCAAAACTCACCTGTTTTTGGTTAAATTTCTGCCTGTTTTATACTGTCTGTTTTACCTTTTTATTATTTGTTATCTTATGTGCAGCACTTTGTGATTCTGTCTAGAAAGGTGCTATATAAATAAAATTGTATTTATTTTATTGTATTTATTACTTCTTTTATGTTCACAGCTCTGAATGAATCTTCAGATGCTTTTGGTGACTTTTTTACTGATCATGTTTAAAAAAAAAACAAAAAAAACAAAAGAAGACTGCTGTTTGCCCAAAGCTGGCTTTGACTCACGGGCTTTTTCTGCTTATAATGCACTGCCAGGTGAGTAGTTACCATGGAAGCTTGTGTGAAATGCACTTTAGTGTCTCTCCCTATTTTGCCGTCACCAGAGGTTGCAAAAATACAGACATTCTGTACTTAAGTAGAAGTACAGATACAGTCCTAATCGCATAGTTTGCATGGTTGGATCTTAACAAGGTTACAAATCGAGCTTCAACATGCAACAAAAAGAAAGGGGAGTGAGACAAAACACTTTTTGAGCATGCAATTTATTGAAAACAACGCTTAAACTGAAACAGGCTGTTTTACAGCCTAGTAAACTGTTTAGGAACACATGCCTTTAGAAGGCCAAATCTGTGCACAAATGAGGATTCATTGTCATTTTCTGTCAGGTAGTCACACTGTCATGATGTTCTGATGCCAAAGGCAAAACTGGCCCTTATTGAATGTGGTCAGGTTGTTGAACTGCATAATCAGGGTCTCTCGCAGCGCACCATGGCTGCTGAGGTGGGGCGCAGTAAGACAGTCATTTGGATTTTCTTAAATGATCCTGAGGGTTATGGAACAAAAAAGTCAAGTGGAAGACCCCAAAGAAATTTAACCCGCACTGAGCCAGAGGATCCAACTGGCTGTCTGTCAAGACACTGGATGATCCTCGACGCAAATTAAGGCCGTTACTGGTGCGACTGCAGCTCCATAGCCATCAGACAGCATCTGAGACTGAAGGGCTTCAAAAACAAAAAACATCTTCAAAGGCCTCGTCTCCACAGAACGCCACAGTCTGTTTGGACTGACAGAGCACCAAACACTGGACACTGAAAGGTGGAAGAAAGTTTTATTCTCTGATGAGAACAAATGTAACCTTGATGGTCCTGATGGTTTCCAACGTTACTGACATGACAAGCAGATCTGACCTGAGATGTTTTCTACGCGCTACATTGGAGGGGGCGCCATAATGGTCTGGGGTGCTTTTTCCTTCAGTGGAACAACGGAGCTTCAGGAGGTGTAGGGGCGTCAAACAGCTGCTGGCTATATCCAGATTTTGCAGAGACCATGACTGAGGGCCCTCGTCTGTGTGGTAACAGGACAACGCTACAGTACACAATGCTGCAGCTTAAGTGACTTCTTCCAGGAGAATAACATCATTTGGACCATCCTGCGTGTTCCCCTGGTAGGGCTGCAAACATTTGATCTGCTGTATAACAGCCTGTTTCAGTTCAAGCGTTGTTTTCAATAAATTGCATTCGCAAAAAATGTTTATTCTCACTCCCATTTCTTCTTGTTGCATGTTGAAGGGTTACTTGGAACCTTGTTAAGATCCAACCATGAAAAATAGGATTTTTTTGCCATTTTTTCAGGTGGTCGTAACACTGCATCAGTGTTAAAAAAAATACTTCAGTAAAAGTTGAAGTACTTCTTAAACTTTTTTGCTCAAGTAAAAGTGAAAAAGTACCGGCTCTGTACTAAGAACATAAAAGCAGCTTCATGAATGACAATTCCATAAACCATTTTTGTGCAAAGCTAATGGATCCTTGTGCTATATTAATGTAATAATAAAATGACATTTGTAGATGGAATTACAAACTGTTTTGCAATCTAAATTCAATACTAATAAATAGACTTTGCTGATGTTCTACTTACGTTATTCAAGCTAAGAAAAAGAGAATTTTTTTTTCAAAAAAACCAAAACCAAAACCTAAATTGTAGAAGGTGACCCTGCCTCTAAACAGGTAAATGAGTAGGGAAGAGAAAGTGGATTTGGCAGGTGGGGGATGCCTAAAATCAGTTGTTTCTATTGAGAGCTCCAGTAGATTTTCTTAGTGTGCACAGTGTGATCAGTTGACCTGCTGCTCTTTGTGAATGAATACAACTGTATTCAACCAGATGTCAGCAGAGGTTTTCATGAAGGAACTTCCAGGCTTCAAAATACTCAGTTTTCATGTTTGTAGTTTATTACATGGACGTGATGACAGTGTTTTAGCTGACATTTGGGAGCCATTTTAACATAATGGAGATAGAGATTGAGGAGGCTGTGCTTTGATGGCATATGTGTGAAAATCGTAAATGATTGATGGAGGAAAGGTAGTGCTCCAAAGCCTTTTTAGACACTTCCCCATTCAAACGAATGCGGAGAAATTTGTTAGGTTTTTGGGAATTTCACGAAAACCTTGGACAATTGCTACCAAACGTCATAACACACCATTCCCGGTCGAGCCGCACGAAACAATATAACATGTGAAGGTTTTCTCAAAGCTGCGGGACAAGTTTTGTGGCAAAATTTCAGGCAGCAGCAGAAAAAGTAGAAGAATAACTAGACAGCAAAACTTTCTTCAGAAATTTTGACAAACAAAACAGAGAATCACACTGGACTTGTCACAGTGACCTGAGCTGGACATGCTGGGCTGCTCTTCAAAACTAACTAAAGTTAAAGAAATAATGTGAAATTATTCAGATGTTTCTCCTTTAGTCATTTATCCTTATCTACTCTACTCACTGCTGCCCTGCTTTTCCCCTCTTCCTCTATTTTCTTCTTCTTTTGTCACTCACAGAGATCCTCTTCAGCTGCTGTCGTGTTTAGATTTGTTTAAACAAAATCAAACATGCCACTTACAAAGTGAGAGGGTGGAGTCAGGGACATACTGTCACTGGCCTGAGGGCCCCAAACAGTTGCCCGGTAGCAAGCTACACCTCTGCCAGAAGCTCCCCAGATCATTACAGCTGGCAGGTACTACCTTAAATAAAGTTCTGCAGCCTTCTATCCGCCAGACTGCCTGAGAACCAGAGTGACGAGCAGCACAAGGCACATACTAGATTAAAGTAAAGCGCTATACAAATACAGACCATTTACCATTACTCTCTGACTCCTCATGTCTGAGTGGAAGGCTGAGGCAAAGCAGCAGGCGTTGAACAGAAAAGTGATGTTAGTGTGACACAACTACATCATAAATGTAGTGTTAGATGCTAAACGTTAAGATACTTTCAATTAAATTGATAAAATGGCGCCATGTTACAGATGTGAGAAACGGTCTGGAACAAAAACGAGAAAAACAGGACGAGCTGTTTGAAGAGTTCTGCTCTTACACTGCCTGCATACAACAGCTGGAGCTTCAGCCTTGTTATTTTTTTGCACAAGAAGACCTTTAAAACATGTTTAAGTGTACACTTTCCAATGGTAAGAAATCTGACAACAAGTTGCAATCAGACAAAATCAGAACATTTAATCAGAAAAAAACGCAGTATAGAAAAGACAGGGTTTGATTTTCAGGCAGAAGTAGATACTTTCATATGGATGTATTACAGCTGCGCGAGAATTTGAATTGAATGTAAGATTTTAATGATTTATATGCTTCTGAGTAGCTTGATCTATATTATTCTAGTGATAATATCTATGAGATTTATTTTTAAATCTTCAAAATCATAATGACTATAGAACCAAACATTTTCAGCCATAATACATAAAGTACCATAACAATGAAATATTTGAACTGCATAAAATGTCAGCCATTACATACTTTGATAAAGTTTCATATAATGACTGGTCCTCTCCATGCTCTCAGCTACTCTCAGGTAATAGTACAAATACACAAATATTCAGCATAAAACCATTAATCACTTTTTTTTTTTCAGAGATGGATTATTATTTTTATTCTTAAGTTCCAGATTTGACTTTTTATTCCAATGGATACGTTCCCAGCACCAGGTGGTGTAGTCACGGGAATTCCTGAGCTTCCAGGACTGATGATGATTATGAATATTCTGCTCAAACCAGAATAAAAACAGAAAAAACTCATTTGCAAGAAACACAGAAAGAAAGAATAACTGACATCATATAATTAGAAATGTCCTCTACGTTAAATGACAGATTTAAGGAATCATATTAAAAATATTCAGTTTAAAAAAACAACTTTTGTAAAAATAGATGAATCATGTGGCTGCAGCCCAGCCTGAACAGTGGACGCCATCTTTGCTTCTATTTGACGGATTTAATTTTGATGATCTGGTTTCCTTTGATTTCTACATCTGCTGAGAACGGCATTTTATCCAGCAGCCTGTCCTCAAAGCCGCCCCCCAGGCTGACACCCAACGCTCCTGCCAGCAGGGATGAAGCCACCTCAAACTGCTGCACCTCATTGTTATGGCTGAGCTCCGCCTCCAACTCAGTCTGCGTCCCGCTGGCTCTTATGATCCCGATAATCTCGATGGTGACGCTCTGGACTGCAGCACTCTGAACCTGCACACAAACATCAGGACAGGCTGAGAATCTCATAAACAGCTAAAAAGCTAAACAGGTCGACAGGTAGCCCGACTTTCAGAACCACAGAGAGCTCACGAGGCATCGATGACTGGTTCAGAAGAACCCCACACTGCCATTAAGACCAGGACCAGATTCTTTCTGAGTGTTGCTTTTAAGTAAATGACAGAGAAATATGACTGGCTGCCTTCAGTGAGTCTCTAATCCTGCTGATGACCTGCTGGTTAGTGGAAAATAAACTCTCAGAATAAGAGTGTGGGGGGTTAAACAGAGTTGTACAGAGCTGAGAGAGTCATCAAAGATACCCGTGTTACTGCAGTCTGTGTGTCACACGCTGCCTGGATTAAAAACAGCAGCTACCTTTAAAATTTTGGTGGAATCTGTTGAGTTCAGCGATACTGAATCCTGGAAGTGACTGGTCTTTACGTTGGTCACCCTGGCAACGTCTCCACATGATACTCTGAGATGCTTGATGTCTTCACCCCACAAGGTGATCCTGATTGAACCAGTGTCGTCTTCAAGTTTAAAATCTTGCTTGTCTTTCTTTCCTCGTCTGTTCTTCACTTTGATGTTTTCAACGGAGCCGATCTGAACAAAGCAACAACATGTGAACAACTCAGGATACAGAGACTCAAATCCCATAATCGGTGATCACAGACTGAATCTGAAAGATGGACTTTAACTGTTTGGTTTATGTGTTGTTTGTTTGTTAGAGATGGAAGTGAACATATTTAGATGAAAGGTTGAAGCTCTAACTAATCAGTTAACAGCAGCTGAACTTATCGTTGGAAAAGTGACTGTACAGAGGTCCTGCTGTGAAGGTGAGTCGATCTTTCAGAAGATCCACACAGCTCATCAGCCCGCTGTAGTTTAAGCTGAGCTGGAGATATCGACAGGTCTTCTCTTCACTCGGTTCAAGTTTAAAAGGAATTTAAAGCTCATCATATTTCAACAATCCAAACTTCTGGACTCTAATAATAAGTCTAAACACTAAACATGACCACAGTCAGGCTTTCTTTTTGTTTGCTGGCTCAATAAAGCCAGAAAAACCAGTCTGTGATAACAGGTATCACAACTGTTAACTCTGCCTCTCCGCCTCGAGCTCCGTGCATACTTAGGTAAACACACGTGATTAATACCTCATGTGACTCTTCTGCACAAAATGGATCAAGCACCACCTACTTCCTCCCCTCACCCCCAGCCGGTTACAATAGATGGCCGCCCCTCCCTGAGTCACAGAGGTTTCTTCCTGTCAAAGGGGAGTTTTTACTGTCACACTGAGCAGGTGTTTACTTTGAGGAGGTCACCTGATTGTTGAGGTTTTCTCTGTAGTATTGTAGCGTCTTTGCCTTACAATAAACTGTTGCCACAAATCAGACAAAGGTAATGCTTCAGAAAATCATCATTCAGGTGATTTGATCATCACAATCACACAGAAGAGTAAAAGAGGCACATATGTATTAATATATTTATATCACCACTCAGTGCTCCTGTTTATAATGTGACAGCTGCACAGTAGAGCTCCAAGACTTGAAACTACACACAGTTTAAAGTCAAATGAGACTTGGGAATCTCTTCAGGCTGTTACCAGATCAGACTGGGAGGAATTTTCTTGTTTAAACAGGAATTTTAGGTAATAAATATAAAACTGTAACTGGTCAGTTTCTAAGTGTTCCATCAGCAGTGAACAAAATAAAACATTTATACATTTAATGCATCACCATGTGAATATGAATACATGCAATCTGCTGCCGTAACTTCATCACACATTAAACATACTGTAAAGAAAACACGGAGCTTCCAGTTACTGTAAACCGACACTCTGAACATCAGCTGCTCCAGACCAGGTGATGTGTTCAGCATAATTTAGCGATAGTGCTTCATCCCAGTAAAAATACAACCACTGTTGTGACACTGAAAACTCAGACTTCAGGCTCAGCTGACCTCACTAACACATTAATCTGGCTTCATAGCACACCCCTCTGAGCTTGTGAGGAAATGGCTGCCCAAATGTTCTGCAGAATATCTGTTCACACTTACCTCTGTTACTTTTCCTTCAACACTCACTAATGTCTTGTCCGCTGATCTCTTGGCCTGTTCGATGGAGCAAACTTGAGTATCAATGAGCATCCGAGCTTCCATCTCCAGATTCTCAGGAACATCAATCTGTGGTGTCTTCGATACTTTGCTTAATTTGGTCACTTTAATGTCATTTCCCTCCACGATGACCTCTCTGAACAGGTAGCAGCTCTTCTCCTGGATTTCTTGATAGCGCTCTCTTCCATACACCATCACTTTAATACTGGCTGTTTCATCGGCCACCCCCAGGTTAAAGAAAAACTTTTTCTCCTTGTTTCTGGTTTGATATGTACGCAGACCAGATTTCTGCACGATTTTGCCACCAATTGCTTTGTTTCCAGGGTTACCACTGGCCTTTAGTTCGCCAATGGATATTCTCTGAACACAGATGGAGAGACAAAAGTAATAGCCCTGATAGTGGCCTAGCAGGTTTTGACCAAAATATTACTCTATTACTGATCTTTATATTTGTTCACACATTAACAGCTCTGTTGTCCCATCAAACAGAATTCATTCTAACATTAGTCAGCTAAAAGTCACTACACTATTACCTGGTTGTTACCTTTGTAAATACATGGATGTTGCATGGTTTTATTTCCACCACTGCCTTGCTATGACAGAGAGCCCCACTAAAAGTTGTAATGTTTAAACAGGATTCAGGTAACACTGAACAGGAAGTGCACCAAAATAAAGGAGTTTATTTTTCATTCCTGATCTAGTGATCAGGTCTAAGGAAAAATATTTCCTGTTGTTTTACTTAAAGGAAATTAAGAGAAATCCACTCACCCATGACTGGCTTTTCCTGTCCTGGAAAAGAAACTGTGTGTAAATGCTCAGTTTGTCATGATGGAAGTGTGGAAAAACTTAACGTTTATGGATGTGTGGTTGTTTGCTGGAGGTGCTTTGATAAATGATGTGAAATATTTCATTAACCTAACTGACATATTTAATAACTGTTACCTTTTGAGGCAATCTCCCCGGTTCGTCTATAAAGAACAAATAAAACGGTGAGTTTTCATACTGTTCTCTTGTTACTGGAGGAAGTGTTAACATGTTTCACAGAGCTGACCTTTTGCTGTCAACTTCCCATCATTTTTGCCTTCAGCCTCTTGCTCTACATCTAAAGAATCACTTGCAGCACTGCTCTTACCTGTAACACACACATCTCATCATAACCCCACCTTCAAACAGGTAAATATCAAGCACAGTTCAGCCGTTATTTGCAAGTCTACCATCCCAGCAAGATGCAGTTCAGCAGGTTGTGTCTAACACTAAAGCAGACCCAGTGTCACGCTTTTAGTATGTTCACTCACCAGCTTCAGATTTCATATCCTCTGCCTTTGAATCAGTTTCACTAAGTTTCCTCTTCGTTCCTAAAAGAAATGTTTCAGAGTTCAACACAGATTATTAGATTATCATTATTATTATTACTATAAATCTGACGGGTTTACATGATGTGCAATTTTTTATTTATTTTGGAATAAAATGCATTGTTCCACAGATGGTCACAGACAGTCACCACTATCAAAGTAGCTTTAGGAGTATAACTGATCTTTGTCTGTGTGGGGTCTCAGTCATCCAGGTGATGCACCTGAGCTGAAAGTAGCTGCTCTTCTATTTTAGAAGCTTGAAGATGTTTCTGAAGTCCACCTGGAATCCATCCTGACATCCCTCCCAGGTGATTCGTGTGGCTCATGGGATGCTAACATCTAACATGATTACAGGGAGTATCCATAACTCTATGGACCACCTGCAAGGTGACAGCAGCAGCAAACCCCACCAGGGTTTGCTGCTGCATTTCAGATACCTCAAGACTCGGATGTCAGAACTCGGGAGTAGGGATGGGTATCGTTTAGGTTTTATCCGATACCAGTACCAAACCGGTACTTTTGAAACGGTGCTCAAACGGTGCGTAAAGAATGAAGAACACAAAATTGGTCCAAAAACCTCTCATGTTCAGCTGTTTTTTTGTAAAAAGATAACAATGTTAGCCTTTTCTGCAGCTATGGGGCATATATGGTATCACTCTTGGCTGGAAGCAGTGCTTAAACAATGGAAAAAACACAAACTTTGTCCAAAAAGTTTGTTTAGCTGTTTCCCTCTTTTTCTTTGGTCATTTTAGCATTTTTGGCCAGGGTGAAGGGAGTATCTGCCATCAAACAAGAAGACAGCCGCATGTAGCTACGATGATGTTTGCTAGTTCACCTTACATGCATTAATGTAATAAGTGGTTAGCCTACTCAACGTAAATTACACACGAACAACATGAAGCTCCTCACGCAGAGAAGAACGGCTGCTGCTGCATCATCATCCTCATCATTTCTGCTACACTGGCAGGGCTAGGGGCCAGGACTCTCCTCTTCGGGTTTTTGGGGGATGTTGCTAACTCCGGGTCTGATAACAGGCACCACACCCGCAGTAGATGTGCACGGTGTGAGGTCTCGCAGCAAGCTATCAAATACGGTGCATTTCTCTGCTTTTAAAAAAATGCTATGCGTCGCCAGGTGTTTCATCAGATTTGAGGTGTTACCTCCTTTGACAGTATCACAGTATCAGCTTAAAGCACTTGTTGCAGGCTGCTGAGTTTGCATCTTTTGCTGTGAAGTACAGCCAGACTTTGACTGCTTTGCCTTGGGTGTTTTTAATCTGTAGCTCTGCTCTAAAAGAACGTACATACCTGGACCCGCCTACTACGCTTGCAAAGGTAAAATGATTGGCTGGTATGCAAAGTGTATGACATCTCAGGAAAAAAAAGCACCGAAATGTGCGCTGCTTTTCGGTCTGGTTACTACCGTTTATGTCAGAACTGGTGCCATTATGGCACCAGATACCGGTACCCATCCCTACTCGGGAGTCGTGTCAGTTCCGAGTGCGTTCTCATTTTAAAACAATGTTGGCTAACGTTAGCACATTAAACTGGAAAAGCACCTTGTTTTCTATGATCACTTGCATTAATCATGAAACTCACAGACCTTCTGCAGGAGCCTGATATTAACCAGACCTCATCCCACATAGCAAGCAGGCCTGGCCGGGATCCGGCATCAAGCTGGCACTTCTGACTGACTGGTGTCATGGCAGGGTGTATGTCAACCAGATGTGGGCCAGGTCTGGCAACGAGGCCACTGTTTATGTTCCTATTTTAGTTAGAACACTCAAATGCCATGTTGCAATACTATACTGCTATGGTAGCCAACGTTTCAAATGCAGTTTTGACAAGTTTGTGAGTGTACGCTTTATCCAAAACCTAGTGAGGGTTTGCTCATCTTTGGCACTGGGTGGCTGTAGCTCAGGCGGTAGAGCAGGTCACCTATTGATCGGAAGGTTAGTGGTTCGATCCCTGGCTCCTCCAGTCTGCATGTTGTGTGTATGAATGTAGTTAGGCAGCACTCAGTTAAGAGAAAGTGTGTGGCTGGGAGAATGTGGCATGTTGTATAGAGCACTTTGAGTAATCTAGGAGAGTAGAAAAGTGCTATATAAGAATCTGTTCATTCACTGTCTGAACAGAGTTTTGTCATGTTACTTTTGCACTATTATGTACATGTTGTTATTACATGGCTTTATTAAGGTACACATTAAGCTGACATCTGGGGCCAGAGCTGAAATTGTTCTGGGCCAGAACAGGGCCAGCAGTGTGTCTGCAACTGGCCCGTGGCTGCTCACAACTTACACATGGCCCACATACCGCAAAGAATGACGGCCCTTTGGTGGCCCAGACCAGGTTTGCCAGAGGTAATCCACACATGGGCCAGCAAAGGACCAACAGTGTGTCTGCAACTGGCCTTGTGCTGGCCCATGTGTGGGCCACCTTTGGCAAACCAGATCTGGGCCACCAAAGGGCCGTCATTCTTTGCGGTATGTGGGCCATGTGTAAGCACATTGTGTGGACCAGAGCTGGACCATGCCAATTTTGCTATGTGGGATGGTGTGAACTCACCTTTTTTCTCAGCTTCTGCTTTGCTCTTCAGTTGGTCCACAAAGGGGCGCAGCAGGTCCTGGACTCCAGGGTCTTTCCTTATCTTATTCATTGCGTTCTTGATTCTCTGGATAGACTCGTTCACTCCATATTGCTTAATGATTTTTTGGGGCATCTCTCTTTTTAATTTCTTCGTCTTCTTCTGTTTTGGGATTTTCGAAACAAACTCCCACATCTTATCGTACTCTTTGTCATCCAGCTTTGCAAGGATTTCAGTCAGAGCTGTTTCCCACTGTTTCTCTAAAATCGCTGCCATCTGCGACACAAAAACAGAAACACATTTCTTTTTACGTCAGTGCATTTATCTGAAAGCTACTACTACAGTTTATTTTAGTTTTTACCGTTTTCTCCTTTAAACTTTACTTCAATAATTGTTAATGTAACGCAAAAGTTCACAAAAATGAGAATGAAATGAAATCGGTGTGTAATGTCACAGCAGGCCCGTCTTTTATAAAGGGGTGGGCAATTAATTTTCAAAAGGGGACACAGGAGAAACTGGAACAGTTGTGGAAGCTGACTCAGTAAACTGAACTCTGCTCAATATGAATATTTTGTCTTTGTAAGCTGCTGCTGGTCTGAGTATCTACAGTAAGCTGTTTTCTGATCGGGGTGTTTTTTGGTGGCTGAAGTGGGTCAAACTGCATCTAAATTTATTCTCACGTAAGCCAGTAAGCAATTAGGACGTACAAGCTCGGGTCTGTTTTATACGGTCTGTGGTAATGATATAAGCTGAAGTACCAGCTTTTCTGGTACTTTTCTGTTTTCTTTTTATTAATGTAGGGTCTCTATTTGGTGCTATAATATATTTAATACCGTATAACCTGAGATTAATTAATGAAGGAGTGAATCATCTGCTTAGAAAAAGTTCATGCCTTTATTGCTAAAAACATCATGGCAGTAAGCTCCAGCTAAAGGAAAATAAGATGAGCTCCTGATGCTGTCCTGCAAAGTATTACAGAAATTATTGCTGTGACTACGCCACACGTGTAAATGTGTGCATTGCTTTTAGAAATATATACTCACAGTACTGTGCAAAGGTCAGAGCCACCCCTCATTTCTGTATATTTTGCTTCCAAGCAGCCAGACCTTCTTGTAATTTTTTGAAGTGCTCTTGAGCAATAGTTCTCCAGCTTTCTGAAAGCCTTTAAATTTTTCTTTAGACACTGGCTCTTTGAAACAATATGTTCTGTTTATGAAGCCACTTCTCTCTGACTTATGAATGACTAAAGTATAAAAAGGCTCCTAAGTCAAGGGAGAAGGTTGAGTTAGGAGCAGGGGAAGTTTGGATGTTCGCTCAGTTATTATTCATATAATTTTAAATAATTTTAAATAATTTTTAAATTCCATCCATCCATTGGCATCTGCTTATCCTTTTCAGGGTCGCGGGGGGCGCTGGAGCCTATCCCAGCTGTCATAGGGTGAGAGGCAGGGTACACCCAATTTTTAAATTAACCCAGAAAATGTGACTGAAATGGCCACATTATCTCTTGATGTTCTCCAGATGTTGGCAGAGGTTCAGAGAGCAGTCAGACTCAGCGTTAGGTGGACTCTGCCTTCGAGACACTCCCAGGAATGTTTTTAATGTTCTTACTCCTGAGAACATTCACACTGAGCGTGTTCAGTTCATTTCACTTCAAACTTTCTTTAGCTGAGAAGTCGAGCCGAGGCATCCAGGTGATGAACGTACGTCAAATTCAACTTCCATTTTTTTCTTTTGTAACTGTTTTCAACAGGGGGAGTAACAGAAATGACTCATCAGCTGTTGTGATCCAGCTGTCAGGAATGTCTTAAAGACATAAAGACCTGGATGGCCTCTAATTCTCTGCTTCTAAATTCAGATCAAACTGAGGTTATTTTACGCGGCCCTGAAAATCATAGAAATATGGTATCTAAGATAAGACTTTGAGATAAGACTTTATTGATCCCAACGCAAAAATGTCTCCATCGTGGGATCAATAAAGTCTTATCTTAACCAGATTCTTACTCTGGATGGCATTACCTTGGCCTCCAGTAACACTGTGAGGAACCTTGGAGTCATTTTTGACCAGGACATGTCCTTCAATGCCAGAGCATTCTCTTTCCCAACGCGCAACATACCGACGATTTGTCAGGTCCCGAGGCGTCCCTCAGGAACGCGAAAGGTAACCTTCAACATCTCTATGATACCCACCAGGTTGTGGATGGAATCCAATAGACTGATGCTCCCGGCAGTAATACACGTTCCAGCTGTGTATTCCAGCCCTAACCATAACCTTAATCATGTTAGATAGTGTTTTCCAAAGCGATTAAAGTAAAATAAACATACATGTGTAGATTCATTCCAAACGGTTCTCATGTTTCCTCATTTTTCTGAACGTGTAACATAGGGACATATTGGGTGGCCGAAAGTGTAACATACAGACGATTTGTCACCTAGCGTAAAATGTTACGCTTTGGGAGTGAGAATGTGTTGTCAACGCACATATTAAACAAATATGTAAGACTGCTTTCTTCCATTTGTGCAACATCTCTAAAGTTAGAAATATCCTGTCTCAGAGTGACGCTGAAAAACTAGTTCATGCATTTATTACTTCCAGGCTGGACGACTGTAATTCATTATTATCAGGATGTCCAAAAAACTCCCTGAAAAGCCTTCAGCTGATCCAAAATGCTGCAGCAAGAGTCCTGACAGGGACTAGAAAGAGAGAGCAGATTTCTCCTGTTTTGGCTTCCCTTAAATGCTTCACGAATTCAAAATCCTGCTCCTCACATACAAGGTCTTAAATAATCAGGCCCCATCTTATCTTAATGACCTTGTAGTACCATATCACCCTATTAGAGCACTTCGCTCTCGCTCTGCAGGCCTACTTGTTGTTCCTAGAGTATTTAAAAGTAGAATGGGAGGCAGAGCCTTCAGTTTTCAGGCCCCTCTTCTGTGGAACCAGCTTCCAGTTTGGATTCAGGAGACAGACACTATCTCTACTTTCAAGATTAGGCTTCAAACTTTCCTTTTTGCTAAAGCATATAGTTAGGGCTGGACCAGGTGACCCTGAATCCTCCCTTAGTTATGCTGCAATAGACGTAGGCTGCCGGGGATTCCCATGATGCATTGAGTTTTTCCTTTCCAGTCACCTTTCTCACTCACTATGTGTTAACAGACCTCTCTGCATTGAATCATATCTGTTATTAACCTCTGTCTCTCTTCCACAGCATGTCTTTATCCTGTCTTCCTTCTCTCACCCCAACCAATCACAGCAGATGGCCCCGCCCCTCCCTGAGCCTGGTTCTGCCGGAGGTTTCTTCCTGTTAAAAGGGAGTTTTTCCTTCCCACTGTCGCCAAAGTGTTGCTCATAGGGGGTCATATGATTGTTGGGTTTTTCTCTGTATCTATTATTGTACGATTTACCTTACAATATAAAGTACCTTGAGGCGACTTTTGTGATTTGGCGCTGTATAAATAAAACTGAATTGAATTGAATCCCATTCTACAGCATATTCATCAAAGGTGGGTCATAGTGGAAGGAACCACATGCCTTCAAAGCTGCATCAGAAATATTGGATTCCTGGTGCTTTGATTAGAAGCATTATGTTGAGATGTGTGATCTGCAGAAGGCTTCATGGAGCTGCAAGCCAGCAGCAGATGGCTGACTTGCTCGAAAGCAGAGTGACCCCTGAGAAACCCCCATTTAGCTTTGTTGGAGTGGACTATTTTGGTCTCTTTGAAGTGAAGCGTGAGATAAGTCTTGTGAAGTGCTATGGAGTTATTTTTTCTTGTTTGGCGATAAGAGCAGTACATATTGAGGTCGCCTCAACTCTTGACACTGATTCTTTCATTAACGACTTACAACGTTTCATTGCAAGACTAGGTCAGGTTCAATTCCTGTGCTCCGACAATGGGACCAACTTTGTTGGTGCAGAGTGCAAACTGAGACGAGAGTGGCATCAGAAAAAGATCTCTGATGTGCCATCTTGAAGGGAGTGAAATTGATCTTTAATCCTCCAACTGGATCACACCATGGCAGAGCATGGGAACGGTTAATTTGTTCCATCAGAAAGGTCCTTAATTCCACCCTGTAGACACAGCATTTAACAAAGAAGGACTCCAAACTGCTCTTTGTGAAGTCAAGTCAATCCTCAACAGTAGACCCAATACACTGGAATCGACCGATCCAAATGATTTGGAAGCTTTAACACCAAACCACCTCCTCCTTCTCAAGTCCAACGCATGTTTACCACCTGGTCTGTTCCAGTTCCAAAAGTGCATGAAAACGATGCAGACAGTTCCAATATACATCTGATCTGTTTTGTAAAAAATGGATCAAAGAACACTTGCTATAACTTCAACAGTGCCAGAAATGGGGGAGGATTAAACACAACTTTGTTCCTGGAGATGTGGTCCTCATGTTGGATGACTCTGCACCTCATGGTTCCTGGATCATTGGGAGAGTCAAAGGAGCTGCGCTAGACCAAAAAGGGCTTGTAAGCCAGGTCTGGTTAAGACCCCAATCAGCCATGTATGCATACCCATCACAAAGATATCCCTTCTTCAGGAGACCTCCGACCCATGACGACGACACCTTTAACACAACTTAACATGACTTATTTTGATTTGACTTTAACACTATGAGATGTACAGCATAGACTGACTATATATTTAGGCTAAGTGCTGGTAACCTCTGGATGACTGGCTGACCATGTGCAGACAGAAAAAGAAAAGAAAAGAGAAAATGACTTTAATGGACTCTTTGAGTGTGTTATGCTGTCTCACTGGGTGTCTGTGATGTGATGTAGGGTAGTTATGGTGTCAGATGTGTAATTATAACTAGGGATGGACCTATCCAACATACGATATCAGTATCCGTCCGATCCTGACCTAAATTACTGGATCGGCTATCGGGGAGAAATAAAAAATGTAACCCGGTCCCTTAACCTCCTAGGACCCGAACTCTTCCACAGCAGTATTTTTAATTTCTCTTTGATATTTGGAATTACGTACACGTTGGTAAGCTGTCTTGTTGCAACTGACGAACTGAAACAAACGAGCGTGCTGTGTGTGCAACAGCGCGACAAACATTACCTGTCCTTTTATTAACTGCACAAGTAGTGCTGGTCATAGCTGCTGGCTACCTGTGTAAGGCTGTCATGGGTCTGTAGCTCTGTCACCGTTTTAGGGAACATATTTAGTTTTAAAGTAAGTTTCAGGGCTTTTCCTGCCTTTCTGGAGGGATTATATTTCACTAAAAAACGATCTAATATGCATGTCCACATAATAATTAT